CTCAAAATAATCTAATGAAGTTGGTAATTTACAAACCCCATTTAATACATGAAGATCATGGGGCACAGAAAGGTTAAGTATTTGCCTAAAAGCACACAGGGAGTAACGTGGTAGAGTTGAGATTCAAATGCAGTCTGGGTTGAAGGTTTGTGCTCTTCACCAGCTCACAGTACTGTCTCTGCAGTTGCTGCCATGGAATGCCTCATCACGTATTGACCCCATACCATGTATCCGGCATCATGCTGCTTCTCACTCACCACATACGCATAGTACTCCCCGTAAGGACACTGATACTCGTGGAGGTTGAGACATTGCACAATATAACATGGAGGTGAGGCCGGGTGTGGTGGCTCACGCCTGTAATCCCAGCACTTTGGGAGGCCAAGGCAGGTAGATCACCTGAGGTCAGGAGTTTGAGACCAGCTGGCCAACATGGTGAAACCCTATCTCTGCTAAAAATACAAAAAATTAGCCAGGTGTGGTGGCAGGTACCTGTGACCCCACTACTTGGGAGGCTGAGGCAGGAGAATCGTTTGAACCAGGGAGATAGAGGTTGCAGTGAGCCAAGATCATGCCACTGCACTCCAGCCTGGGCAACAAGAGTGAAACTCTCTCAAAAAATGAAAATTTTTTTAAAAAAAAGCATGTTGGTGAAGGGCAGTGCCCCCCAGGCTCATACCCTGCCCTGCCCGACTCCAGAGCCCATGCTCTGTCAGCTGCCACCCTGCCACTCTGCTTGGTTTCTGGTGCCTCAGACATGGGACAGAATATTTCAGTGCAGAATGGCAGCTGTTGACATGTGGTCATGTGTGCACAGGGCTCTGGAAGTAAGGGGACAGAGTGCCTTGTACCTGAGGTATTTAGGGAGGCTTCAGGAAAGAGGGACTTCTAAGCTGGATTTTAAAGGATAGGCTCTCCTGGCAGATGCTTAGTGTGTGCAATCTCAGGTCGTCTAGGAAGACCATGGGTGGTCAGAGAATGGGTGGGAGACCAGGGGGCTGAAGTTTGGGGTGGCAGCCAGAGGGCTCCAGGATGACACCAGAGAAGAAGCCCATTCTCCTGTGGGTCCTCTTCTCTGCCCCCCACTTCTAGCATAGCTCCAGCCCTCTCAGGCAGCCTAAGTATTCAGTGAATCAATGGACCAATGAGTAAATCAGTTCAGAGTCTGGAACTGTTTTCATCTCTCCCTCACCCTCCAACTTCCGCCTGGGGTGAAGGACAGACACCTTTTTGGGTTCAGTGAATTCCTCTCTGCCTCACACCCAGGAGTTCCACAGCTGCCTCCCCATATCCCTGGTCTAGGAGCTCCCAGCCACTCCCTGCCCGGAAGCCCTTCATGAAGCTAGCTGTGGGGTCTCCCAGTTGAGCCAGGTCCTTTGCCCTCCTGCTTCACCCCCATGCCAGGATCAGCGCAGGCCCAGGCAGCTGGTGACGAGCCTTCTCTTTTCCTCTCCTTCAGGTCTCTTCCTCGGCCTCCTCTTCCTCCCACCACGAGGCCAGCACGCAGGAACCCTCTGAGAGCAGCAGGGACTCAAAGGGGAAAAAGTCTTCCAGCCATAGCCTGAGTCATAAGGGGAGGAAACTGAGCAGCGGGAAAGGTGTGAGCGGTTTTACCTCCGCCTCCTCCTCCTCCTCCTCCTCCTCCTCCTCCTCCTCCTCTGGGGGGCCCTTCCAGCCTGCAGGTGAGTGTGGGCGTCCAGAAGGAGGCTGGGAGTGGCGTGGGGACAGCCTTTTGTCCTGAGCTTTTCTGGCGAGGGTCTTTGCATATTGGTTTGCATCTCATTTACTTCTACATTGGTTCAGGATAAAGATGGGGGATCCCCACCAAGTGACTCCTCTCCAAACTCTGCTCCTCTCCCCATCGAGGGCTGCCCCGCCAACCCCATGACAGTATTCTTATCCCTTGCATTTGTGCTGCAAGGTGCCATTTTTCAAGCACCCCCATTGACTGTTTATCTCCTTTAATCGCTGCAGTCATCTGGTGAGGCCAGTGGGGTGCGAGTTACTCTCCCCCATTTTATTACAGGTGGGAAAGCTGGAGGGGTCAGAGGTACTCATCCCAGGACACAGACAGTGGCAGAGCTGGGACAGGAAACCAAGCGTCCCCATTCCTAGACCAGAGCTCTCTCCCGCCAGTACAGGTGGGAGTGGGAGGGAGTGCGGGGATCCGGGTTCCTGCTGTAACCCTGTTTTCTGTCTGTGCAGTCTCGTCCCTGCAGAGCTCCCCTGACTTTTCTGCATTCCCCAAGCTGGAACAGCCAGAGGAGGACAAGTACCCCAAGCCCACAGCCCCTGCTGCTTCAGCCCCGCCTTCTCCCTCAGCCCCCGAGCCCCCCAAGGCTGACCTTTTTGAGCAGAAGGTGGTTTTCTCTGGCTTTGGGCCCATCATGCGATTCTCCACCACCACCTCCAGCTCAGGCCGGGCCCGGGCGCCCTCCCCTGGGGACTATAAGTCTCCACACGTCACGGGGTCTGGGGCCTCAGCAGGCACCCACAAGCGGATGCCCGCGCTGAGTGCCACCCCTGTGCCTGCTGAGGAGACCCCTGAGACAGGCCTGAAGGAGAAGAAGCACAAAGCCAGCAAGAGGAGCCGCCATGGGCCAGGCCGTCCCAAGGGCAGCCGGAACAAGGAGGGCACTGGGGGCCTAGCTACCCCATCCTTGCCCAGTGCCCAGCTGGCTGGCTTTACCGCCACTGCTGCCTCACCCTTCTCCGGAGGCTCCCTGGTCAGTTCTGGCCTGGGAGGTCTGGCCTCCCGAACCTTTGGGCCTTCTGGGAGCTTGCCCAGCCTGAGCCTGGAGTCCCCCTTGCTAGGGGCAGGTTAGTGACCCCTGGGGATGGACAGCATTTCAGGGCCCAGCCAGTCTAGTGAGGAACAGAGCTTACACATGCACTTAGAAGGAAATGGGATGGATACTGCTCCAAAAGAGAGAGTAAGGAGGTGACAGTCACCTTCAAGACATCCCCCTGTGCATGGCTGGAGTGGAAAGGATTGGGGGCAGATTACCAGCAGGTTTTACCAAGTTTTGGGAAGGAGATTAGAAAAGCTAGGAATTCCCAGCCCTGGGCAGGGCAGTTTAACAAGCAGGCGCAGCAAACAGATGTCACCCAGGCAAAAAGTGACATCTTTGCAGCAAGAGGGTTAGACTGGGGTGTGTAGCCAGATTCTGGGGTCGCTCTAGCTGGGGAGGGGCTGTTGCAGCCACCTGGCTGAGGAGGAATCAGAGGTGGAGGGTAATCGTGTGCTTCCCTCTGTCCTTCTTGTGCCTGCAGGCATCTACACCAGTAATAAGGACCCCATCTCCCACAGTGGTGGGATGCTTCGGGCTGTCTGCAGCACCCCCCTCTCCTCCAGCCTGCTGGGGCCCCCAGGGACCTCAGCCCTGCCCCGCCTCAGCCGTTCCCCGTTCACCAGCACCCTCCCCTCCTCCTCTGCTTCTATCTCCACCACTCAGGTGAGACCTGACTCCTGGCCTCTTCCTTCCCTGGGCAGGTTGGGGAAAGACTGGCAGTGGACCCCAGCCTTCCATGGGAGTTGGAGCAACTGGGCTTTTGCCACCAGACCTCCCTCCGGGCTCTGGTCCACTCTGCTCCCCAGCACGCCTGGCCCCCTGCATCCCAGTACACACAGTTGTGCCTAGATCCAAGACTAATGGCCAGGCTGCCTTCTGCCTCCCTCCCTCAGGTGTTTTCTCTGGCTGGCTCTACCTTTAGCCTCCCTTCCACCCACGTCTTTGGAACCCCCATGGGTGCCGTTAACCCCCTCCTCCCCCAAGCCGAGAGCAGCCACACAGGTATGTGAATCTCTGACCCCCCCACCTCCCCTTCCCAAAGGTCTAATACCCATCACTTGCATGTGACCCCAAAAAGGATGGGAGAGCTTTATGGCTGCCCCCTCCCTCTGGCCATTGCCCTCCCTGCAAAAACAAACAGGCTGGGTGTGGTGGCTCATGCCTGTAATCCAGCACTTTGGGAGGTGGGCGGATCACCTGAGATCAGGAGTTGGAGACCAGCCTGGCCAACATGGTGCAACCCCGTCTGTCTCTACTAAAAATACAAAAATTAGCTAGGCGTGGTGGTGGGTGCCTGTAATCCCAGCTACTCAGGAGGCTGAGGCAGTAGAATTGCTTGAAGCCGGGAGGCGGAGGTTGCAGTGAGCTGAGATCCGGCCATTGCACTCCAGCCTGGGTGACAAGACTCCGTCTCAAAACAAAACGCCTGCGCAGTGCCTGCCACCTGTAATCCCAGCTACTTAGAAAACTAGCCTGGGCAACATAGGGAGAATCTGTCTCTTAAAAAAAAAAAAAAATCCACACACAGCAAACCAGAGTACACTTTCACATTAGAACCCAATGAGAAGGCAGGGCCGGGCAGTTACTGCTCCATCTAGAAGAAAAAGGCAGAGATGGAAGACTCGCTCAAGGCAGGGAATGGCAGAGCCAAAGCTCAGATTCTGGTCTCCCGACTCCAAGCCCAGTGCTTTCACCGGTATAGTGTAGCCTCCCCGTTGGCCTCTTAGTGTGTCCCTGGGATCAGCGCTTACGAAGGGCCCAACCTCTCTGGGTATTTAGGAGTTAAGGGGGCGGGCCACAAGCTCCCCGCCCTCTCCCTGGAGAGTCAACCCAGCCCCAAAGAGCTGATTGGTGCAGGGAGACCACCTGTCAGGCTGGGAGGCAGGGCTTACAGCCAGGCTGCCGGCTCAGGTAAGCCTTCTTAAAGGGGACAAATAGGACTCGACGTTTGAGAATGCCAGAGTAGGGTGATATATTTGTTAAAACTCAGATCAGGATTCTGTGGCCCAAGGAAGAGTTTTGCCTCCTGATTAGGGATCTGATGAAAGCAAAAAGCCATACAGAGCTAATTATGATAATAGCCGCGTCATTAAGGGCTTGCCACATGCCAGCTAAACCCTTCAGCTAAACACACTTATTACCTTCTTTTAATCTTAATAACAGTCACTTCAGAGAGGCTGGTTAGGAAAGAGCCCAGGGTCACACAAGTTGGTGTCAGGTTTAAGTTTAATCCAGGTCTGTCTTGACCTTAAATTTCTATAACTCTGAAGATCCCAGGAAAGGAATTGGGTGGCGGATCTGAAAGAAGCCAGTGGTGCCTTCAGCCTAGAGGAGGAAAAGAGAGCAGACGCCCGGAGTTTGTTTGCCTCCCAGGGGCAGGGTTTCCAAGCCAGGGCCCTCAGCCCTGGCCTTGAACCGCCAGTCTGGGGTTGGAAATTCTTGGGGAAGGGGATCTGCGGTGAGGTCCCAATCCCAGACCCACCTCGGGGGCACTGACCCTGAGGCAGCGAGCACTCCTCCCCGCTGATCCCAGTCTTCCCTTCTTCCAAGAGCCAGACCTGGAGGACTGCAGCTTCCGGTGTCGGGGGACCTCCCCCCAGGAGAGTCTGTCTTCCATGTGAGGGAAGGGGCGGCCTGGAGGAGGGGCTGGGGCAGGAGGGACATCCGAGGGAGGAGGGGCAGAGAGGAGGGCGCGGGTTGGAACCCCTTGGGGGTACGGGGGAAGGGACGGAGAAGCCCGGAGTGGTCGGGTCAGCTGAGCCCAGGTTCCCTCTGGTCGCAGGTCCCCCATCAGCAGCCTTCCCGCACTCTTCGACCAGACAGCCTCTGCACCCTGCGGGGGCGGCCAGTTAGACCCGGCGGCCCCAGGGACGACTAACATGGAGCAGCTGCTAGAGAAACAGGGCGACGGGGAAGCTGGCGTCAACAGTGAGGAGGGGTGGCACCGGTTGGAACGCCTGTCCTAGGGTCCCAAATGTCACCTTTCTCCCCGAGGTCCCCAGGCTTCTTTAAGGTTCCGCCCCTAAGCCCTGCCTCAGCCTTGACTCTCTGCCACCCCGGGCCTCACCTCTCATCCCAGCCGGGCCACACTACTGGCCCTGGCCCGTCTGCGCCCCACCTTTGGCCCTCTTGGCCTCCGGGCCCCGACCTTACTAAACCGCAATTTCCGCCCTTCTTTCCTGATCCCTGTGGCCTCGACGTCAGCGTCAGGCTTCACCCCTGGTCCTCACACCCGTGGCTCCCCAGGCCCCGCCTCTCTTCTCAGAGCTCACCTGTGCCCCTCCTTAGGATGCCACCTCCTTTTTGAGGGCTGAGCCCTGACTCCCTTCCAGGCCCCTCCTCAGGTACCCTGGCCCCGCCCCTCCTCGCCCGGGCCTCAGGCTCGTCGCTGTCTCCGCAGTCGTGGAGATGCTGAAAGCGCTGCACGCGCTGCAGAAGGAAAACCAGCGGCTGCAAGAGCAGATCCTGAGCCTGACGGCCAAGAAGGAGCGGCTGCAGATTCTCAACGTGCAGCTCTCTGTGCCCTTCCCTGCCCTGCCTGCTGCCCTGCCTGCCGCCAACGGCCCTGTCCCTGGGCCCTATGGCCTGCCTCCCCAAGGTGAGGGGATCCCACCCAGCCCGGGAGAGAGGCCCCTGCCATGCAGTTCGGACTGGCCTTGACTGCAGCCGATAACATCCCTCCCGCAGCCGGCAGCAGCGACTCCTTAAGCACCAGCAAGAGCCCTCCGGGAAAGAGCAGCCTCGGCCTGGACAACTCGCTGTCCACTTCTTCTGAGGTGAGCACTGCGAGGAGCGGGGCAGGAAGGAGGGGGGAACTCAAGGCTCTTCTGGTCCCATCTCTACCCTGCAGCTATTGGCGGCTGGGCAGTGAAGTGATTGGCTGAGCAATTGATTGATCCATTCATTCCTCCCTTAATCAAGTAATATTTATGAGGTGCCCACTTAGTGCCAGGCTAAGCAATCAGTGAGCAAAACTGGCACAGTGCTGCTTCTGAGATAGGCTACCCCAAGCAAAAAAGGAGTAATTACCAACTGGGAGACATGTTAGGGTGGAGAGAAATTGAGGGCTGCTTCTGTGGATAGCAAGTGGTTAGGGAAGGCCTCTTGGAGAAGTATTTGTCAAGGGATTATTATATCGCCTCATGCAAAATAATCCCTGTGTAATTGGTGGTGGTTGGAATAGCAGTTGCTATTGTTGTGTTGTGGTTATTACTGGAATCCAACAAACTGGGTTCTTGTTCTCTCTCTGCCATTTATTAACTGTGTGACGTGGGCAGTAGTAATCATAATAATAACCAGCATTAATTGCACACTTGCCCTTTGTCATGCCCTGTGCTGAGATTTTTTACAGCATTCACTTAGTCTTCATCGTAAGCTTATGGAATAGGTACTACTGTTATCCCCCAGCTTATGAATGAGTAAACTAAGACAGGTTGAACCCAAGGTCACCCAAGCTGTTGAATCGTGGACATAGGGTTTGAACCTGAAGCTTTCACTTCGGCTGTAGTACTTTTGCCTACAGAGTTACTTAACCTGTGCAGAATCAATGGCTTTCCCCATAAAATGAGAATAGCAAGATAGCACAGGTCAAGCCCTCAGCCCAGGATCTGGTTCACCAGATGGTCACCACCATCATCATTGTCCATTATTAAATGAGGATGACGAGAGGCACTGGGCGCCCAGGAGGGGGTCAGGAAACATGATTTGTGAAGACAGTTTGGATTCTTAGCTCTCATCCCCGGACCCTGCTTCTTCCAGGGGTGCCTGGGGGTGAAGTGGGGGTTGCTGTGCTCTGTGAGAATGCTGGTGGGTGCTGGGCCAGGGGCCAGAAAGCTCATGCTGGCCCTCTGACCCCTCCCTTCCCCTCCCTCCCCAGGACCCACACTCAGGCTGCCCGAGCCGCAGCAGCTCGTCGCTGTCCTTCCACAGCACGCCCCCACCGCTGCCCCTGCTCCAGCAGAGCCCTGCCACTCTGCCCCTGGCCCTGCCTGGGGCCCCTGCCCCACTCCCGCCCCAGCCGCAGAACGGGTTGGGCCGGGCACCAGGGGCAGCGGGGCTGGGGGCCATGCCCATGGCTGAGGGGCTGTTGGGGGGGCTGGCAGGCAGTGGGGGCCTGCCCCTCAATGGGCTCCTTGGGGGGTTGAATGGGGCCGCTGCCCCCAACCCTGCAAGCTTGAGCCAGGCTGGCGGGGCCCCCACGCTGCAGCTGCCAGGCTGTCTCAACAGGTGAGGGAGAGCTCAGCCCTGGGAAAGGGAACAGGGTGGGGGGCTGGCTCTGGTAAGGGAGGGATGCTCCCCACAACACCCACAATCCCTAAAAGGAAAAATGACCTCTGGTCTCACAGGATATATAATCCTAGTCACCTCTTGGCCTCTAGGGACTCCACAGATTGTTAGACATGAGTGTCCTCTGGACGGTAGCTCCCCGGGGACAAAAGAGCTGTTTACTTCCTGTTCTTTACTCCAGGATTTCCTTCTGAGACAGTTCTTCCAAATCAGACCTGTATCCCTCCTGCTGCACCCCCTGAGCACAGTGCTCTAAGATCGCACATCCCTGCCTTGCTTCCCCGGGGTCTGATGGAGTCTGGGGACTTGGGAGTGGGAGCAGGAGTGTTTCCCTGGCCCTCCGCCATGATCTGTGTGTTGTCCCCCCACCCCATCCCCACCTCAGCCTTACAGAGCAGCAGAGACAACTCTTTCAGCAGCAAGAGCAGCAGCTCCAGCAACTCCAGCAGCTCCTGGCCTCCCCGCAGCTGACCCCGGTAATGCTCCTCCCTTCCCTGCCTCAGGTGCCTCTTGGTCTGCCTGGAAGGTTCATCTCAGAGGATCTGGGCCAGCTGGGAGAGGGCAGGAGCAGAGAGAGAGGGGAAGCTCCAGGCTGGGCCTGTGGGACTGGGGCTGGGACCTGTGGGGTGTCCATGGGAGGTAAGGGGATAAGATCATGCCCAGGGTCCCCTGGGCATTGAGGAAGGCCTGCTGTAATACCCCAGGTCACATCCTGCTGAGAGACTCTGGAAGCCAGCAAGTCCTTAGTCCTGAGCATTTCAGTCCCAGCCCCAAGGACGTTCAGGGGAAACTCCAGGGTCTAAGTGGCTGCGCAGGTGACACCACTCTCAACCAGAGCAGCTTCTTTGGTTTATCCCGTGTCAGGTCGGCTGAAACTACCTTTGGAGAAAAGGAGTTTTACTTTTTTTTTTTTTTTTGAGACTGAGTCTCACTCTGTTGCCCAGGCTGGAGTGCAATGGTATGATCTTGGCTCACGGCAACCTCTGCCTCCTGGGTTCAAGTGATTCTCCTGCCTCAGCCTCCTGAGCAGCTGGGATTACAGGCACCCGCCACTATGCCTGGCTAATATTTGTATTTTTTTTTATTAGATGCATTCATCTTACTATAATCTCCTTGAACACATTTAATAATTTTTGTATTTTCAGTAGAGACGGGGTTTCGCCAGATTGGTCAGGCTGGTCTTGAACTCCTGACCTCAGGTCATGCCTGCCTTGGCCCCCCAAAGTGCTGGGATTCCAGGCATGAGCCACCATGCTCGGCAAATTGAAAACTATTGACCTAGTCAATAGTTTTGGCGAAACCCCGTCTCCACTAAAAATACAAAAATTAGATGTGTGGTGGCAGGAGCCTGTAATCCAGCTACTCAGGAGGCCGAGGCGTGAGAATTGCTTGAGCCTGGGAGGTGGAGGTTCCAGTCAGCCAAGATCGCACCACTGTACTCCAGTCTGGGTGACAGAGCAAGACTCAGTCTCAAAAAAAGAAAATTATTAGCCTATTGTTTTTCAACTTGGGGGTGTCTGTGGTTGTCTTGGCAGCTGAGGGGTGAATCAGTGGGCAGGGCCAGAGATGTTAAATACCCTGCTCTTGGCGGGCAGTGCCCCAGCTGGCAAACACCAATGGTGTGCAACCATTTTCTTGTCTAGATGGGGAGACCGAGGCTGAGTACCTTGACTGTCTTAGAGGCCTCTTGGCTCCTGGTTCCAGTGTGATGGGGTGGGGGCCCAGCGAAGCAGGGCAGGCAGCAGCAGGGAAGAGATCCCTGGGACTGTTGCCCAACAAGCAGTCTGGCCCCCTTGCAGGAACACCAGACTGTTGTCTACCAGATGATCCAGCAGATCCAGCAGAAACGGGAGCTGCAGCGCCTGCAGATGGCCGGGGGCTCCCAGCTGCCCATGGCCAGCCTGCTGGCAGGAAGCTCCACCCCGCTGCTGTCTGCGGGCACCCCTGGCCTGCTGCCCACGGCGTCTGCTCCACCCCTGCTGCCCACCGGAGCCCTAGTGGCTCCCTCACTTGGCAACAACACAAGTCTTATGGCCGCAGCAGCTGCAGCTGCAGCAGTGGCAGCAGCAGGCGGACCTCCAGTCCTCACTGCCCAGACCAACCCCTTCCTCAGCCTGTCGGGGGCAGATGGCAGTGGTGGTGGCCCCAAAGGAGGGGTGAGTAAGGGGCCCGGGAACTTCCTGTCTCCCCTCTGAGGGCTAGGCAGAGATAGATTGTCAGAAGGCTTATCATCAGGTGCCTCCGAAGGGTGAAAGAAACAGTCCCTAGGTCAGCGAAGTGCCCTGCCTCAGAAGCCAGGGCCTCTCCTGGCACATGGGTGCCCTCCTGCAGAGCCAGGAAAGATCCAGTCGAAGCATGGGCTAAGAGGAAAAGGACCAATTAGAAAACAGCCTTCCTCTGGGAGGACCAATTTGAAAAGGCCATTTTGTTTCTGAGCAGACCAATTAGAAAATGATGACCCTCTGGATAGGCCAATGTCAGAAAGGCCCTCCCTCCTCCCCCTGAGGGCACAAGCCTTGACTGGCACTTACCCATGCAACCCGGTGCTCCTCTGCAGGGTGGTTTTCACAGCCCTGCGCACTCCTCAGAGCCCAGGCCAGAGGCTTCCACTGGCCCGGCTTCAGCACCCCACGGCAGCTTTCTTGGCCCAGGAGGCTGTTCTCATCTGGGGATTAGACCTGACACTTCCCACACGCCCAGCCTCCCTCCCTCTCTTTCCAGACCGCTGACAAAGGAGCCTCAGCCAACCAGGAAAAAGGCTAAATCCACCCTCACCCCTCCTGACCCCCTAAGTGGAGGGAGCAGATCCTGGCCTGAGGGGTCCTACCCTGGAGCAGGCACCTGCGCCCAGACCCTGGAGAGCCTTGACCCAGTGCTGAGGTCCAGGGAGTGTGGGGAGCTCCTGGTGCCGAGGACTGAGACTGGAGGGGAGCCCCTTCCATCTGGCCCCCTTCCCTTTCTGCGCTGTCCGCTTTGTGAGGCTCAGAGGAAGGACAGGCTGCATGCCCGCCTAGGAGCTCCACCCCCAGCAGATGTTTGGGGGGTCCGTGAGAGCAAAGGGGCTATGGCAGAAGTAGGGGTTCGTTGGACCTGTCACATGAAATGGATCAGCACTTGAATGGGGAGAAGTGGAGCGAGAGGCCCTGGGCCTGTCCCCGAGGGGAAATATTTTATGGAAGAAGGGCTGGACCCACTTTACCTGCAGTTTCTTCCCAGCTCGGGCAGATGGCAGAAGGGACCTTTTGGACTTTTTCTTGCCATCCCTCCCTCCCAGCGCAGGGGCACAAGCTGAGCTTGTAAGAGCCCACAGATGGCGGGGGCTGGAGAAGGGGCAGGACAGCATCACACTCAGCCCTCAACCTCTTGGGGCCCAGGTGATGAGGAGGAGAGGGCAGGTGCGGGGAGGCACCCGGCCTTGCTTGGTGCCCCGCCCTTTGTTTGCACTATTGGACTTCGGAGTGCCGAGGGTGGGGAGATGGAGCTGCCTGATTCAGTGTGTGTTGTGTGAGAGAGTGCGTGTGTGCGTGTGTGTGTGTCTGCCTGCCTGCCTGCCTGCCTGCCTGCCGCTCTCCCCCTGGACCTGGGGTAGGGATAGGTGCAGTGGTCGCTGAAGCAGCGCCAGAGAGGGGAGCTCCCAGCTCTTATTTGCACGCTCCCCACCTCACCAACTTTGGTCCCTCTCTGGGGCATGAATGCTTAACAAAAACCAGAGCAGTACTCCAATATTGGAGAGTCCCTGAGGGCTTGGGGCTTTGAATCAGGGTAATATCCTGCCTTCCCTCCCCTGACCCCACATGGTCTCAGGGCCCCCTTAGGGCCCCCTACCCCACTGATAGCTTGGTCCTTCCCTGGCACAAGGGGAGCCCCAGGGCTTGGGGGAGGAGGTAACGGGGGAAAATGCCACTGCTTTTAGCAAAAGCCTCCCTCCCAGAATTAACCAGCCTGCCTCCTGCACCCCACCCCCACCAACCAGGGGAGCCACTAAGCTGAGCTAACAGCTGTCCCTCACCCACCAGCTATTTCCCAGGGTGTCCTGGGCACTTCTCACCTTAAAAGAGTCTTCGCCTGCCCTGGCCTTTGGCACAGGCTGAGTGGACAGTCAGAAGAGAGGCGAGAGGCGAGGCAAAGCCTGTGTCCTGTTTCGGTTGCACTGGGGTTGGAGCCCAGGGTAGGCGCTGCCCGCTTCCCAGGCTCCTGCCTTGTCAGTCTCTTTGCATGTGTGGATTTTTCTGTGTGTGTTTCTGTTTGGGTTTTTGTTGTTGGGTTCTTTTTTTTTTTTTTTTTTTTTTTTTTAAATAAAAGAAGATGTGTATATTTTTGGCAATGACAGAAACGTAGTGCAGATATATTTTTGCCTGTGCTGCTCAACTGTTTTTTTTTTCTGATACTGAAAATAATATTAATATTCCTGTTGATAAGACTTTGTAAGATGTTAGGGAGCTGATAATGGAGGGGGTGGGAATCCTTCAGAGGCAATTTCTTAGGCACTTGCAAAGGGCTTGGGGGAGGGGGAGGCAGTTGTGATGACCTCAGAAATACTTTCTATTAATGCTAAATATGTTAGAAAGAAATGATAGAATTCAGCATTTTATTCATTTTAATCTATTAAGCTCTGTAACTCCCTGCCCCAAACCACCGAAAAGAAAAGTAAACTTCAGGCTGGGCACGGTAGCTCACGCCTGTAATCCCAGCACTTTGGGAGGCTGAGGTGGGTGGATCACCTGAGGTCAGGAGTTCCAGACCAGCCTGGCCAACATGGTGAAACCTCATCTCTACTAAAATATAAAAATTAGCCAGGTGTGATGATGCACGCCTGTAATCTCAGCTACTTGGGAGGCTGAGGCACAAGAATTGCTTGAACCTGGGAGGCCGAGGTTGCAGTGAGCCAAGATTGTGCCACTGTACTCCAGCCTGGGCAACAGAGTGAGATTCTGTCTCAAAAAAAAAAAAAAAGTAACTTTCATAGATTCTTCGAGAAGTTGCTCTTTCACACCCACACCCTTGCCCAAGGCTGGCCCACTTAGAACAAGACTTAATGTCTCTCTGGATAGGAAGGGAAGGGAAGTACATCTACTCCAAGGTTGCCATGTTGAAGAGTTCTGTGCACCGAAACCAAGACCCCCCACCCCCACTCAGAACACTTCTTCCCTCCGTCAACCCAACCCAAAGCCTGGGGTTCTCATCTCCAAGTGTCTGTTCTCCAACTTTCCCAAGCCGCTTGCATTTCTCAGGCTGGGCTACTGTGGCGGGTCAGGTAGATTTGGAGACAGGGCCCAGGCTGGGTATGAATTGGTACGGCCCTCTTCTCCTTTCCACCAGTCTCTCAGGAGAGAAGTGGCATTTTCTTCTGAGGGAGCTTCAATGGGAAAGGTCTCAAAAGCTTCAGGAGGAGCAGGATGCCAGTGCAGGGGCATGGCAGTAACCACCTCCCCGTGCCTCTTGTAACCTCAGTCCCTTTTTCAAGAGTGAATTTGGATGGTGGAAGGGGTGGGAAGAGACCCAGATTTGTAGATCTATTTGTCTAGGGGAGGGGAAGGATGTGGTTTGCAGAGCGGAAGCAGAGTTTGAAAACGCATGAGAGTGAAGTGTTCCCACCCTCGGCGAGGACGTGTGAGTGCGGAGCATGCAAAGTCAGGTGTTCCCACCCTTGGCGAGGACGTGTGAGTGGGTATACATATGGGGGCAGTGCCTGCTGTGGGGTCACAACTGGTGCATGACAGCACTGAAGGGACCTGTCTTTAGGGATCGTTTCAGCCAGCTCTTCCCATCACAGGTGACAGCTCCAAGCCTAGAAGAGGCAGGGGGCTCAGTGGCAGGGCCAGGACCAGCCCTCAAGTCTGTGGCCTCCTGCCCCATGGCACAGTCTCCACAGGGCTGGCTGGCTGTCCCTGTGTGTGTGACACTGGGTGTGAGTGCAGGGCTGTGCCTAGGTGGGAGGGTGTCTGTGTGGCCCTGACTGTTTTAGTTCAGAGCTGGTGGATCCTCTCCATGGACAGTGACACTTTAAGGATTGTCTGGGTTTGTTTTTCCTATTTGTGGGTTTTTCCCCTCAGGCTCCTGGGTCTGCCTCTGCCTCACGGTGTCCTGACCTTGAGGCTGCCCATTCCCTTCATACTGAGTTCTAGGGAGGTGCTTGCCCTAGACTCTTGGGAAGGGTCTAGAGAAATGAGAGGAGCCCAAGCCAGGGGCGAGCTCCAAGAAAGGGCAGCCTCCACACTTCTTCCCCAAATTGGAAATGCAGACAGGTTTCCAAAGGCACAGGTGCTCCTGCCAGCTCCTAGCATCTTCCTTGGTGTGCCGCGGGCCAGTTAGGGGTAGGCAGTTTGCATCCAGTTCTCTTCCTGGGGAGAGGTGCCTAGGAGTGGGGTAACTTCAACTGGGAATTCTGAGGAAGGTGGGCGAAGTGGCCTCGGCTCTCTGCCCTGTGTCGACCCAGACTGAGAGTGTGATTCGCTCCCGACCACTTTGTCTTGATCTACTGAAAACTTGGGAACTGAGGGGTACCCTCATTCCCCTTTGTTCACTTTCTCTAGCTCCACTTGGGACTTGGGTGGTAGGACTGGAGACCCCACCCCTGTTCCCGTCCCGCCCCCTTTCCATCCCAGCCTGTTTCCATGTAGCAGACCCTTCCTAGGGAGCAGGGAGGGGAAGCCACAGATTGCAAACCCAGGGGCTCCTTTTTCATTCTTTCTAAAACCTTGATATCCTCAGCCCAAAGGCGATGCCCCCCTGCCACCTCCAAGCCTGGAATTGTGCATAACCCGGATCTTGTATCTTTGTATAACGGATGTTATTTGTACGAAGGGCAGTTCGTAAACAGCACTTGTTCTTTTAATAAAAGAATGTTTTGCAAAAAAAAAAAAAAAAAAATCCAAAGATCCCCTGTGTGGTCTGGCTTTATGGAAGGGGACAGGAGGCGGGTGCCAACTGCTGGACGGTGGGAGGGCGTGGGCTGCGACCCTTCTGTTGGCAGTCATAGAGGCAGTGCGTGCACAGACGCGAACGCTCAGCACGCCCGGGCCCGCCCCACACGGTGCATCAGTCCGTGGGCCCCGGCCCGAGGTGACACCACGCCCGCGCGCTAGCTCCCAGAAGCGCGGCCGACACTCGGCCAGGGATGGCAGCTCCCGGGAACGTCCTGGCGCTCGAGGGGTGACCCAGGCGCCAAGGCCGCGCGCCGGGCGTTTCGCGGCCAGGCCCGCCCGGCAGGGGGCGCTGGGACCGACCGCTCAAGCCCGGGCTTCCGGACCCGCCGGCCCTTGCCTCCGCCCTCGCAGAACCCCGCGGCGTCTTCCGGAGCCTGACTGGCCGGGGACAGAGGGGGCGGGGAGCTGACCCGGAGTGGGCGAAGCCGGCGGGCGGGCGCGGCGCTGGAGCCAACTATGCGTGCCATGGGGGCGATCCTGCGGCGCGCGGCGCGCGGCGCCCGGGTGAGCATCCCCGCCCCCCGCCCCGAACTCCACCCAGGCCTCCACCCGGGCCCCTGCCAGTCCGCACTCCAGCCCTGACCCCGGCCGAGCGCCCCCGAGCCCCCGGCCCGCCCCCGCCCGGTGCCTGGCTGGCCGCAGCTCACGGGTTTTTCCCAAGCGCCAGTGGTTGCCAGAACCTCCCCAGCCAGCACCTTCTCTTGCAACCCCTTTTTCTTACCCTCTCGTTTCTCCCTCGCCCCTTTAGCCCCGTCATCTCCCTCCCAGATGGCCTCCTGCCTCCTTCCCTTTCCACTGATTTTATTTTTCTGTTTCCAAACCACCGTCTCGTGATGCTTGCGTACCTTGCAGGACCTGAACACGCGGCGGGACGTCTCCTCCTGGCTGGTAAGTACCCCCAGCCTCCCCTCCTCCTCGCACAAGACCTCCAGGCACGGAGATCTAAAGGCAGAGACCAGGGAATGGAGCTAGGAAGGGTACAGCCCTATTCCTCTAAACTCCAGACACCTGGAGTTAGCCCGTGGCTCTCGGGGAGGTGGGAGGGGAACAGGGCACCGAGCGGGGCGCCAATCTTCTGTGCTGAGGACAGCAGCACCTGATTAACCAACCCCCAGTGTGGGTGGCCCTGCCATAGGCTGGCAGGATCACGGCCTGCCCGCCCTAGCACCAAGTGGGCACCAGAGTTTGAGGGCAGGCTGCTGGACCTTGAAACCTGAGTGTCTGAAACCTGGCTTTCAAATCGCTTCCCTATCCAAAGCTCACGGTCCTCATGGTGTCCTGGGGAAAGGCCTTGCTGGGTGGAGTCAGATCAGCCTCCAGTGAAGGAAACCTGCCATCCACAAAGGCCAGTGGGAAACCAGGAAGGGTTGCAGGCAGGAAGATGCTTCCAGGGCTTGAGCTAACCCTGAGCCCATGATCTTCCCTGGCCACAGGCCCGGTGGTTCCCCAGAACCCCAGCCAGGTCCGTGGTGGCCCTGAAGACACCCATCAAGGTGGAGCTGGTAGCAGGGAAAACCTACAGATGGTGTGTGTGTGGCCGCAGCAAGAAGCAGGTGAGACCCCTGCCTGCCTTCCTACTAATACTCCTGGCTGGGAGTTCCCACCTAGGATGGTCTTATTATTCCCACGAGTACCTGAGGGACACCAAGGGGGCTTGGGGACAAAAGGCCAGTGCCCCCAGCAGCCTTAAGCTCACTGCATCTACCCCTTGCAATGAAGCCAGAGAGACACTCGGTTGCCTAGCCAGCCGGGTGCAGCCGGGCTTCCGGTGGGCTCTTCCGGGGGCTGTTTGCTTCTCAGAGGTGCACTGTGTGGCAGAGCTCACGAGGCTGTCTCCCGTCTCCTCCGTTCTTCCAGGAAGCACCTGGGCCATAGGTTCCCAGGCCTTGAACCCTGACATTGGGAAGGGATTCTGCCCAGGATTCTTCCCAGGTTCTCCTGCCTCCAAAGCCTCCCAGCCTTCCCCCGTGCCCCTCCACTCTTCTTCCAGAAAACTCATCCTTCTCAGTTTATGGGACTTCCTGGCTGCCTGTCACAGCTTGCTGTCTTCTCAGCTTCGCTGCCTGCCCCCACCTGCTTCCCCTTCTGCCCAGGAGCATTTCGTCCCAGCAGGAACCGGCCCACATTGTTTGCCTCCCTGGCCCCTTTCCTTCCTGAGAGACCTCAGACCTGTGTTCCTTCAAGCTATGTGGCGTGGTGTCAGCAGCCCAGGGTCCTGGGTCCCACTTAGGTCTACACACCTCTGCCTCAAGCCCTCTTTAAGACAAGCTGCTGCTTTCTGTTTGCACACTTCTCTCACCTCTCCTCCCATCCCACCCTGACTCCAATGTCAATAGGCCTTGGTTCAGCTAGGCAAGGGGTGGCTCACACCTGTTATCCCAGCACGTTGGGAGGCCAGGGCAGGAGGATCTTTCCAGCCCAGGAGTTCAAGAACAGCCTGGACAACAAAGTTGAGATTTCGTTTCTACAAATGCCTCTACCCCGACCAAAAAATAGCATGGCAGTGCACCTGTGTTCCCAGCCACACTGGAGGCTGAGGAAGGAGGACTGCTTGAGCCCGGAAGGCTGAGGCTACAGTGAGCTGTGTTTGCACCACTGCACTCCAGCCTGGGCAACAGAGCAAGACCCTTTCAGAAAAAAAAAAAAAAAAGGCATTGGCACCAGTTCTGCCTCTAACTAGTAAGGCATATCATCTCTCTGGGCCTGTTTCCATTACCCAGTCTCTGCTTGAGCAGCTTCTGGGATGGGGAGTGCACTCTGGTGCCAGGCAGCCAGTTTGCTATGGGGCATCCCCTCCTCCCTGTAACCTTCACTCCCTGTCACATGCCCAGTTGTTCCATGGAGCCAACAAGGAGACTCAGAGCCATTCACAGACACACACACACTCCTGTTAGTGTCCTGGCCCTCTGGTTGCCCCGGATACTAATGCTGTGAACACTCTACATACTTACCAGACACTTAGTACAGGCAAAGTGCACCATGATCATTATTTCATTTCCTCATCCAACTCAGCACTTATCACCCCACATTACACAGCGGAGGTCACTCAGCAAGCCCCGGCAGTCTGCTCTGGAGCCTGCACCCTAACCACTGTGCCCACTCCCCCTGAGCTCCCGCAGCCCGCCCCGCCCTGCCCCAGCAGGTGGGGTCAGGTCTTTGACTCCCATCTTTCACCCACCAGCCCTTCTGTGATGGCTCCCACTTCTTCCAACGCACTGGCCTATCTCCACTCAAGTTCAAGGCCCAAGAGACGCGCACTGTGGCACTCTGTACCTGCAAGGCTACCCAGAGGCCCCCGTACTGTGATGGCACCCACAGGAGTGAGCGTGTGCAGAAGGCAGAGGTGGGCTCCCCACTCTGAAGGGGCTGTCCAGTCACAGGTGGGCTCGGCTCCAGGCCTGTGACAGGCACCCCTTCTGTGGTGAAGGAAACAGGTGCTGAACCCAAGACCTGGTACCCATGTCTGGCTCACGAAGGAAGAATTACTCCTTATAACATAAAGGTCTCCAGTCTGGGGTTGGCAGGAGTGCACCCTGGGTCAATGTTTGCTGACAGAGAAGACGGTATAAAGAAGGCTGCCCAACCAGACTGGTCCTGTGGTCACTGGTATGCGGCTCACATGCTGCCTCCTGCTCCAGATTTTAACCTGTGTGTGGCTGGGGGCACCTGAGCAGCCACAGGAGAGGGCAGTTCAGATTCATTACATATGGGGTCCCCAAGCCAGGCTGAACCCAGAGACAAGGCACCCTTCCCGTCTTCCCCAAAAGAACTACAGGCTCCAGAAAGTATGCAGCATTTATTACAAAGCCAAGAGATACAGACGTCCCAGGGCAGAGGAGGGCACAGTCACAGGACCTCAGACACAGGGCAAGGCGCAAACACAGACAAGCCCACTGGGGGCTCCCAACCCCACACACCTAGGCTGGGATGGAATCTCAAGTCTCGACTCCTGCTGCCTCCCAGAGCTATGCACACTTGTGGAACTCTCGGTGGGCAGGACCTGCCAGGTCTGTCCCTAGGGAGGTGGTCTGCTGACCTCTGGGGCTGGGACTGGGGCCAGAGCTTACAGGTTTCTGTTTTCTTGTGCTTTTAGATGCAGTTGCTCTGTCCTGACCAGGTGACCGGGCCTCAGCTGGGGGAGGAGGGGCCGCTGGAGGGCTGTGTGCCTTTGGCAAAGTCTGGGGTCTGTGCTTGTGTGAGGTTAACTCACCCCCGCCTCCACTCTATGCCCCAAGTGAGACTCCACCACCAGTCCTGCTAGTGAGGGGTCCCGGGTGAGGGCAGGGGTGGTGGGGGTGAAGCACTTCACAATGCTAACGCCACAGTGGAATTCCAGGGCTGAGACCTCTCAGGGCTTGAATCTTCTTTTCCACAAGATAAATGATGCAAAGGCCACACACACAGGAGAGGAAAAAAAAAGAGGCAGAACTATCTATTCTTTGCACAAAGTTTCCACTGCAAGAAGAGGAGGTGAGGGAGGTGCCACCCCCACCCTGCACCTGCTCCTCAGACCCAGGATTAAACTGCGTTTGTAAAAGGCACTGTTCTTAGCAATTTCTGGACATTCAACAATGCAGGGGGCAGCCACTGGTCAGAGGCAGGACAGCAGCCAAGATGGGAAGAGAAACGGGGGGAGAGGAACAGTTCTAACTGGCTCCTATTGACAGTTAGAATTGTGCCTAAAGCTTTGGGGCTGAAGGGGCCCCCAACACCCCATCTGCCTTGGGAACAGTGAGGACAGCGCAGAGCTTGACTGAGCCTCCAGTGGCCCGTCCAGTTCATCTCCAGGCACCCCCAAAAAGAGCAGAGCAAATTACACAAGACCCCCCCAAAAATGAACACCATTCCCCACACATACACACACACATAAAGTTTGTTTCCTGTGGCACTTAAATTAATCTGGTTGGTCCATAGAAAATAAGTATGTATATTTGGTTTTTCCTATGTACATATATATATAGATTTATTTATAAAACCCGTCCCCCACCCCCAAGGTGGGAAGAGCTGGGGAAAGTAGAAGAGGTGGAAAAAAGGGCCCAGAAAAAGTGGAGGGAGTGGAGAGGCTTGGCTGGAAGGAGGGAGAGAGGGTCCCTGGCCTCAAGTTAAGGGGGGCACGGGAGCACCGTTGACAGTCATCTTGCGCCCCCTGCTGGTGGAGGATGGTGTCTGCAGGCAGTTCGAGGTACCCCCGTTGGCAGCTGTGGTGGTCCCACTGGCTGCAGAAGGGGGAGTGGGGGAGGTAGGGTGGGTGGCTGGAGGCCCATGGGAGCTGGGAGAGCCATGGGATGGGGTGGCTGGGCTGGGCAGGGAGGAGGAGGTGGCTGGTAGGGTGGCAGGGCTGGGAGCCTTGTCGCTGACCGACTCACACTCGGACGCCCCGCTGGTGTTGGTGCCCTCGGAAGGGGTGGGCACCGTGGCTAGGGTGAGCCGCTTGCAGGCCGGCTGGACACGGTACTTGAGGGGGAGAGGCCCGTTCTGTGGGAAGAGGGAGGAGGAAAGAGGCAGGGAAGGGACGGTGTCAGGAGAGGCCAACTAGAAGGCCACCAGCTCCATCCCACAGTGTCCAAACAAGAAAAAAGGGAAAGGACAGGACCTCAGAGAGGAGAGAGACAAGGACACAGGGCACAACCCAGAGAGGCAAAAGGTCTAAGAGGAGAGACTCGGTCAGAGAGGAAGAGAGGAGAGAGGGAGACCAAAACATGGCAGTCACCAGCACCTGTTTATGCCCCTAAATCAGGGGACGCCATCTGCCCAAGGAGTCTTGTCTCCTGAGCGGAAAGTCATCACAAGAGATGGCCCCGAGGCTGACCTGCTGTGGCAAGCCACCCTGGACACGCAGCTCATGGGACAAGGGATGGACTGTCTCTGGTTAAGAGGAGGGTGGCCCACGTGGCCACAGACCAAGGCCAGACCCTTCGGGGACCTGCTCCCTGCCGGCCCCACCCACTGGCTCACCCGTCGCCAGGGGTAGATGTAGGCGATGTCCATAAGGGTGTAGTATTCCTTCAGCGGCTCGTCCTCGTACAGAACCTCCACCTGGAGGAGGGAAGTGGAGGACACCATGACCCTGGCCAGGCTTGGGGCTCCGGGCTGGAAATGTGGGGACTGGGAGTTGAGGCCATGGGAAGGGTGGATTTGTAGATGGTCCTTCATTCCTTGGGGGTTTCACTGTGGATCTGACTTCCCTGTCGGAGCCATTCCAACATAACTCCTGACCACCAGGTAGGAAGGGGTCCAGAGACCATTTCCTTCTTGGTAGCAGCCCGGCCCCACCATGCACACAGCTGTCTGGGTCTCCTATCTCTGGCAGGTCTCCCAGAGGAGCTGAAAGGGCTCAGGGGGATCTTCTGGAACTCTGTCTCTCACCCCCAGCTACAAAATGGAACCACCCAGGGAGCTTTAAAAAACACCAATGCAGCCGGGCACAGTGGCTCATGCCTGTAATGCACTTGGGAGGCCAAGGTGGACAGATCACCTAAGGTCGGGAGTTTGAGACCAGCCTGACCAACATGGAGAAACCCTGTCTCTACTAAAAATACAAAAAAAAAAAATTAGCCAGGCATGGTGGTGCATGCCTATAATCCCAGCCACTCGGGAAGCTGAGGCAGGAGAATCATTTAAACCCAGGAGGCGAGGTTATGGCGAGCTGAGATTGCACCATTGTACTCTGCAGCCTGGGCAACAAGAGCGAAACTTCATCTCAAAAAGAAAAAACAAACAAAAAAACACCAATGCCTGGCTCGGTACAGTGGCTCACGCCTGTAATCCCAGAGCTTTGGGAGGCCAAGGTGGGTGGATCGCCTGAGGTCAGGAGTTTGAGACCAGCCTGGGCAACATGGTGAAACCTCGTCTCTACTGAAAACATATAAATCAGCCTGGTGTGGTGGTGCATGCTTATGATCCCAGCTACTCTGGCAGCTGAGGCATGAGAATCGCCTGAATACGAGAGGCAGGGGTTGCAGTGAGCAGAGATTGCAAAACTCCTGCCTAGGCGACAGAGCGAGATTCCATCTGGAGAAAAAAAAGAAATATGGTATCTAGGCCTGGGAATGGTGGCTCACACCTGTAATCCCAGCACTTTGGGAAGCTAAGACGGGCGAATCACCTGAGGTTTGGAGTTCGAGACCAGCCTGGTCAAATGGTGAAACCCTGTCTCTACTAAAAATACAAAAATTAGCTAAGTGTCATGTTGCACACCTCCAGTCTCAGCTACTCGGGAGGCTGAGGCAAGAAAATCGCTAGAACCCGGGAGGCAGAGGTTGCAGTGAGCCGAGATTACTCTACTGCACTCCAGCCTGATGACAGCAAGAAAAAGAAAAAAAGAAAAAAAAGAGAAATGGAATCTACTAAAAGAAATATGGAATCTACTAAATCAGAATCTGCATTTTAACAAGATCTCCAGGGTACACACAGACATTCAAGCTTGAAAAGCCATGTTCTAGAGCTCCACTGGAATTCAGACTAGCCTCCCCCCAGGCAACTGGCCCCAGGCGAGGCCCCGTGTTCCACACTCACCCCTGCCACAGTTCCAGTGTGCAAGCACGTACATATACATGCCACCTTGGTCCCATGCACCACTGCACACGGAGGCTGCCCCCACCCTAATCTCGGTTTCAACCACCCTTCTATTAACATGTGGACTCAGTTAGCCAGGCGAGCCCTGGGTGACACCTAGCCAGCCCTGAACAACAGCTGGGGTGCACAGACTGTCAGACACACCCAGACACAGACATTCATTTTTTGAAAGGCCCAGGGACCCACCTTGTACTTGCTGGGCACATCCATCTTGTTGCGGAGAAACTTGGCGAGGTGCATGACGGTCATGGCTGCCGGGCACCGCAGGAAGCGCACCCCTGTCTGCTGGGGCACAGGCACCCATGGTATGGGGTCCAGCCCAGGCCACTCCCTCCCAGCCCACATTCCAGTCCTGGTCAGGCCCCGGCACTCACTTTCTCTTTGTCCCCATCCCCATTCTCCAGGGGGCCCTTCTTTTCATCCCGGTCCCTGGGGGCGGAGAAAGAAACAAAGCTAGGAAGACCCAGGAGGAGGATCCCTCAATGCGCCCATCCAGAGGCCCCTGGGTGGGAGAAGGGGTGACCCAGCCTAGGAGCCCAAAAGGGGTCAGCCTGGGCCAGACTTGCCTGGCACCTTCGTAGAACTCAATGGAGAGGCTGACAATCTCATCATCGCTCAGAGCCCCCTTCTCCTGCTCCAAGACCTCACCTCGGTCCTCATTGGAGCCGTTGGGGACTGCAGAAGGACAGAAATCTCAGGTAGGCAGACGACGGAGGAAGGGAGCCCGCCAAGGACCCAGGGATCATGAACTCAGCCAGGTGAGCCTGGCCACCAGGGGAGGCGGGCGTGGAAGAAGTCAGAGGGTGAGTGGTGGTAGCATTACACACCTGCCTGGTCCCAGGCACACCCACGCACACACAGATGGACACGAGCACACTCACCCTCCGTCAGGGGGTACGCTGCATAGAAGTCCCGCCGCCGTTTCATCTCATCTGGAAGAAGGCAGCAGGATGAGGACAGGGCCATGGGTTGGGAAATGGGGTCGGTGGGCGGGAGGAGAAATGGTGTACAGATACCTTTAAAAAGCCCAGGAACCAATTTGTAGACAATGTCTTGGAGGGTTTTGTCAGACCTGGGGACAAACGGACAGGGCTTATCAGCCACACGCTCTCCAGAGAACTCCTCTGATCTCACCCTGCTCTCCCAGCCAGGGGACCCCTCTTCCCACCCCTTCCTGAGACCCTGTGCCCAGCCATCGGGGTCCCTGTGGATCTGGTCTTTGCCGCTCTAGTATGTCAGCCTGTGACAAGCCAGATGCGACCCCAAGGGAAGGAAGTGGCCCAGGTCCACGCCTTGTGCTTCTCCCACACCTGCTGCCTTGATGAAGGAAGCATGGAGGGCGGGAGGGATGGGGGAGGCTGACCCAGGGGGTCGCATGAGCAGGAGGTGCGGGCCATGCCCACCTGATGCTCAGCAGTGGCCGGGTCTTATGCACCTGCACATCACACATGGGGCAGTATTTGTTGGTCTCCAGGTAGCGCACGATGCAGGTTTTGCAGACTTGGGGGTGTGGAGAGAGAGAGAGAGAGGAGAGTCAGAGCCGCCTTCCGACCCCAGGACCAGCTTCCCTGCCCTCTGCTCAGACCCAGCTATCCTTTCTCCTCCACCTGTCCCTGCTCCGAGGCCCAACGAGGCAATGTGTGTTCTGCACGTGTGGCGCCTGTCCCTGTGCATCGTGGAGGGAAGCTGGACAGGCCAGTGTCATGTACAATGCAGAAGGGCAGCCCGAGTTCCCAGCCCCACCGATGGAGGAGAAGACAAAAAGAGCCAGCCTGTTAGAGGTGCCCCTGGCCCTCACCCGCTTGCCGCCAAGCCCACAGTGCAAACGGGGGTGTCTGCATAAAATTTCAGCCATTTCAAGAAAGAACTGAGATTTCAGAGGCAATGAACTTCTGGGCTGACACCCTGCGCCTGGTCACCCCTGCCAGGTCGGCCCCTGTGACCTGAGGATTCCTGGCAGACACCTGGATGCGTCTGCTCTACAGGTCTTTAGTGCTACCTTCCTCAGGCCATGCCCACCCCCATTCTGGGCACAGAGGCTGCCGACCCTGAGCAGCTCCCCTCCCGCCAACTCACAGGAATGCAGGCACTCCACAATAGTGGTGGCGTCGATGAAGTACCCCCCACAGAGGGCACACATGAGGTGGGGATTCAGCTCCGTGATTTTGATCCGTGTAGTCCGATGCATGATTCCGGGGTCAGGGGTGGGGGGACTGGGGAGCGTTGCCCTGGGAAACGGAAGTGGAATCAGAAACTCAGAGCGTTGGCAGCCCCTCCCACGCATCATCCACACCTCCCAGCCCATCCCTCCCTGAGCCCAAGGCCCTTCTCTGCCTTCAGGGTGGGCTGGGGCCATACATGTGGCTGGTTCTTTCTGGCCCCCTATGAGTGTTCATTAGGTTCCGGGCTCTGGAGATTCACCCAACCTTGAGCAACAACGTCAGCTCTCTCTGAGGAGCAGGAGGAAAGACTGAAGTTAGGCCACAGTTCGTACTGTCCAACTCCCCAGAGAATATAATGAGGCAGGAAAATAGGAGAGAAGAGGATTTTTAAAACTCTCCAGGCCGGGCACGGTGGCTCACGCCTGTAATCCCAGCACTGTGGGAGGCCGAGGTGGGCGGATCATGAGGTCAAGAGATCGAGACCATCCTGGTCAACATGGTGAAACCCAGTCTCTACTAAAAAATACAAAACTTAGCTGGGCACAGCGGCATGCGCCTATAGTCCCAGCTAGTCCCAGGCTGAGGCAGGAGAATCGCTTGAACCTGGGAGGCAGAGGTGTGGTGAGCTGAGATTGCACCATTGCACTCCAGCCTGGGCAACAAGAGCAAAACTCTACCTCAAAAACCAAAAATCCACAAAACCTCTCTCCAATCCCAGGCTGGGCGCAGTGGCTCATGTCTGTAATCCTGGCATTTTGGGAGGCTGTGGCAGGAGGATCCTGCTGGCTCAAGTGATCCCTTGAGCCTGGGAGGTTGAAGCTGCAGTGAGCTGGGATTATGCCACTGCACTCAAGCCTGGGCAATAGAGCAAGACTCTGTCTAAAAAAAACAAAGCAAAACAAAACTCCCCAATCCCAATCCACAGTCACTGACTTGGTCCACATTTAAAGCATACTAGGAACTAGGAGGAAATTTAGATAAATAAGCCATTGCCCTGAACTTCAAGGAATAGAAGAGAAAAAATAAGCAATCCTCACTCCCTCAACCCCTCCATCTGTGCAGGGCCTCAGACCTGCCCTTTCCACTACATCCCACGCTCCTTTCTACTCCATCCATTCACTCCTCCTCCAAGCTTCCCTGAAAACACCCAGGGCACAGGCTCCCACCTTCGGTTAGAAGGCCACAGCCATCACTTGTGCTTCCGGCTCTGCATCCAGCCTAGGCCTTGGGGCCCCTCCCTCCTAAGTCTACCAGACCTAGGCTGCTCCCAGGACATCCACCATACACTAACCATTTGGTTTCCAGGCCTGGGACTCAGACAGGGAACATGCCCGAAGCTGGGAATGTGCAGCTCCAGCCCTAGCCCTGAACTCAAAGAGTTTAGGCAAAAAGGCTACACCCCTGCCACAGGAATCCCTCCCACTGCCCCTGATGGAGAGCCCCTGCGTGAGTGCTACCTGCCCACAGCACACACGTGGTCCAGGACCCCCCTCCCCAACCCCCAGCCGCTTTCATGCACCTGCAGGAATTCTCCCCACGTGGTCCCTGTTACCCTCCCACTGTCTCCAGCCCCGGTGACGCCTGTGCCACCTGTTCACAGGCTGTCCAGTGACAAACCACAGGCTCTCACAGATGCCTGCCAAAGCTGGGCAGAAAGTGTCTGTCCCCAGCCCGCCGGGACACCAGCCAGGCGGGACAGGGTCTGCAGAGGTCAAAGTCCAGCTTTGGATTGGCCGCTGTGCTTCCTTCTTGGTAACAGAAATCAAACCAGCACCTGGAAGGGACAGCCCCTCCCTCCTCTTTCCCAGACTAAAAGCCCAGGGGTGGGGCTTGGGAGGGTGGCCAAGCCCCAAGAGCTCCTTTACAACATACTCACACCCTTCTGTCCTTTCCAGAAAGACTTCTAAAGCCACCACACTGGGTTTTCTAGGACAAGAAATTCACAGCCGGGATCAGCAGTTTCTATAGAGACCCCAGGATGAGTCTGGCCGGGACCCAGACAGCCAACAGAGTCTCAGGGAACCTAGCCAGAGACCGAAAGAGATGCAGAGACACAAAGGCCACACGTGGGAGAGACAGGCAAGTTGCAGGGCAGACAGGGGAACAAGCCAGTCCCACAGCAAGCCCAGAGACAGGGCGGAGAGGTGGCGGCCCCCATGATCTGAGAAGGTAGAGGGGTTCCCACCCCATACACGGTGGCCTCGGTCAGTCCTCCCTGCATGGGTCCCCCTTTCGAAATTACGCAGAAGGCTGCTGGCTACTCCACTGTTTGGTCGTTTCCATAGTAACCCTGTCCCTGGCAAGATGCCCAAATATTATTACAACCATCCAGAGGAGAGAATAATCCAAGTAGCTGTCTCTCTGAGCGTGTGTAATATCCATCGTGTGTACGTGCCGTCTGGGCCTCCAAAAGTACTTCCTGTGACTGCCTGTCTGTCACGTGTGTGTCCAGATGCATCTACATGTGTGTGCACGCACTGCCACTAACAAACACTCTGGGCTCTGATAACACCTGGAGTCCCTATTGCTGGGTAAATCGCATGCCCTCATCCCTCCCACTCACCCTCTTATACAAGTGCACGGTACACACACACACACACACACACATAAACACGTAGGCTCTGCATACTTCACACTGCCCTGAGCCACCTCATTCACACACCCGCTGTGTTTTCAAAACAGACACTTACTCTTTTTTTTTTTTTTAAAGACAGTCTTGCTCTGTTGCCCAGGTTGGAGGGCAGTGATGTGATCTCAGCTCACTGCAGCCTCCACCTCCCAGGTTCCAGTGATTCTTGTGCCTCAACCTCCTGAGTAGCCGGGATTACAGGCACCTGCCACCACACCCAGCTAATTTTTGTATTTTTTTTTTTAAGTAGAAATGGGGTTTTGCCATGTCAGCCAGGCTGATCTTGAACTCCTGGCCTCAAGTGATCTGCCTGCCTCGGCCTCCTAAAGTGTTGGGATTACAGGTGTAAGCCACCAACCCAGCCGACATTTGCTCTTAAAGACCCCACAGCCAGGAGCCCCACACTGCAAATGGCTGTGCCCCTTACCCGATCAGTTCCCTGCACATTTCTGAGAATTCAGCCCGAGCCTATCCCTCGGGCCTCTGTCTAGACACAAGGCCCAAGGTGGTGCAGATTGAATGAAACGCTGTTCCTTCTCCAGTTCCCCTTGCCAGCCAGGCTTGGTGGCTCACCCCTGTAATATCAGCACTTTGTGAGGCCAAGGTGGGTGGATCACAAGGTCAGGAGTTTGAGACCAGCCTGATCAACATGGTGAAATCCCATCTCTACTAAAAATAAAAAATTAGCCGTGCATGGTGGCGGGCACCTGTAATCCCAACTATTCAGGAGGCTGAGGCAGGAGAATCTCTTGAACCTGGGAGGCAGAGGTTGCAATGAGCTGAGATCACCCCACTGCACTCCAGCCTGGGCGACAGAGCAAGACTTTGTCTTGGAAAAAAAAAAAGAAATAAGCCCCTTGTCTCACTCCCTGCTCCCTGCCACCCCATCCCCACAGGTTCTGACTGTTACCTCTGGGGCTGAGGGTGGGGAGAAGCACTGATTGGCTCCTCACCGGATTGCCATGGTTACCTGCAAGGCCCTGCCAGCAGGTGCCAAGAGCAATGTAAACTGGAGCTCTGTCTCCCTAGAGCACCCTCTCCCTGGCTCCCCATCCCAGGAGGCCCCAGGCCCTGCATTCCTGACATCCAGTTCCTCCCCCCCTGCACTGGCTGGTGTGCTGTGGGAAGGCAAGGGAAAAGGGGTGATGGTGGCTGGAAATCCAGTTGTCATTACTTTGAAGAGGCTAGGAGATGGGAAGAACTTGAGGGATAAAGAGTGAGAGACATAGATCCCAAGAAACAGAAAGGAGAGGCTAAGCGCCATTGGAAATGGCCTCTGCAGAGCTCAGGGGCTTTAAAACTTCAGTCCCAGCTGTGCCCCTCAGTGACTCAGCACTGTCTCCACCTCTAACACCACTCTCCCTGCCACTGTCTTTGCAAGGGCATGTGTGACCCTTAGGTGGCCCACATTCTGGGCCCTGGGGCCCCGGGTCTGACTATAGCTACTCTAGCAGGAAGGGAACTTGCTCAGCACTCAGCATCCAACCCCGAACCCTCCTTGCCATTCAAGCCTAGCACTTGTATTTCCCAGTCCTTAAAGACCCCTGCTAAGAAATCAACCCCCATACATCTATTTTGGAGTCTCACTCTGTCTCCTAGGCTGGAGTGAAGTGGCGTGATCTCTGCTCACTGCAACCTCCGCCTCCTGGATTCAAGCCATTCTCCTGCCTCAACCTCCTGAATAGCTGGGACTACAGGCATACGCCACCACACCCAGCTAACTTTTGTATTTTTAGTAGAGACAGGGTTTCACCATGTTGGCTAGGCTGGTTTCAAACTCCTGGCCTCAAGTGATCCGCCCACCTCGGTCTCCCAAAGTGCCGGGATTGCAGGCATGAGTGAGCCACTGCGCTCGGCCCCATCTTCTATTTTAACCAGTGTCTTTCTGGAAGCCACCCTGCAATTTAGGCCTCTCTCACTTCTTCATGGTCCCCTGTTTTCCACAGTGGGTCTCCCAGCCCCAAGGCCCCTGTGTTCTCTGATGCCACAGCCCTCTCTGCTCTGCCTGCCTCCAAATGAAATCAGCCCCACTCCCTCACTAACAAGTCTCCAGGTCTTGGGGAAAGTCACTCAAGGTCACATCCAGATGTCTAGTATTGCAGAGGTGAAAGAGATCTTAGAAAGCACCTTGTCACCCCACGCGGTGGCTCACACCTGTAATCCCAGCACTTTGGGAGGCAGAGGCAGGGGGATCATGAGGTCAGGAGATGGAGACCATCCTGGCCAACATGGTGAAACCCTATCTCTACTAAATATACGAAAAACTAGCTGGGCGTGGTGGCACATGCCTGTAGTCCCAGCTACTTGGGAGGCTGAGGCAGAAGCATCGCTTGAACCAGGGAGGCGGAGGTTGCAGTGAGCCGAGATCGCACCACTGCACTCTAGCCTGGGCAACAGAGCAAGACTCCCATCTCAAAAAAAAAGGTGAGTACACTCAGAGAGAAGTGACTTGTGTAAGGTCACACAGGAAAGCAATGGCAGTCCTGTGACAAGAAACTGCCTGACTCCCACCTCAGTGCTTTTAACACCCTGACACCCAGCCAGGCTCCTCACTCATCTAAAGCAATAATGCCTGGCTCCATCCCAGCAGGTGGGAGGGCAGCTCCCTGGAGTGGCGGGAAAACCACTCAGTGGGCCACCGTCTGGGAGGGAATCAGTCCAGCCAAGCACAGCCTCCTGCCTTGACGAAGGAGGAGGAGGCAGTGTTAATCACCTTACCCCCTTTCCACGGTACACAGCGGGAAACAGGCTGCCGGGAAGCACGGCATCAAGACTCAGACCCTGGGTTCTCTGACTCTGTTCCTCTCCCAGCTTCATGGGTCCAACTGTGCAATCCTCTTGTATTTGTGTTTGGGCCATAAGGGTCTGCCTAGGCACACTGTGAACCTCCCAACTTTCCTCGATCCTTGACAATGGCACAAAGATCTACTCCCCTGTCCTCACCATGCATTGAAAAGGGCCTTTAGCCTCCTGAAGCTGGGCGTACTCAGCCCTCTCTCCCTCTCCCACCTCTCAGCTCCCTAAGATCAAACAAAGGCAAACCCCAAAATTTACAATTGCCAGATACACACACATACAGAAAGACACACCCCCCTCCTCCTCTCACTCACCACACAAGGCCAGATAGACACAACAGGACACCACACTCACACAATCACAGCCAGACCAGAGCCAGGCCCACCTTGCCAGATGCAGGAGCCGCCCCCATCCACCCAGCACCTAGAAGCACACGGCCTGACATCCCTGCCTGGAACCAGATCTGCTAATACATACTAACCTTTTGTATGCCCCTGGTCCACCCAGGGTAAATGATAACATAAGTCTTCCAGCAACAAAGGCAGTTCAGCTTCCAACGTCTGCCCTAGGGACCAGAGGCTGAGGGCTGCAGTGGGCATCTGACCTGCACAAAGCTGTACCCTCTTCCAATCCAGGCTCTCCATTCCCATGGCAACAGCTCCATCAACCAACATCTCCCAGGCAAGGCCAGGGACAGTAGAGAGTACCCCTTCCTGCCCAACCCCCAAGACTTCAGCTTGAACCCTACCCAGCTACACAAGGTCTGGATCCTGGGGTCGGTTTCCTGTTCATTCCAAAGCCAGTTCTAAAGCCTCAATCCCCTACCCCCCAACCAGGGGAGCCCCTAGGAAAACCTTCCCACCAAAAAGCTGCAACAGAGCTGGCTTTATGCTCCAAGTAATAACATCTTGGACCAGAGTGGTGGGGGTAGGGAAAAATTAAAGAGTTTCAGGAATAGAAACTGCCAGAGGTCCCAGAGGAGGAGGCATCAGAAGGAGTGGGGAGGGGACAACCAGGAGACCGCACTCTGGGGAGACTGAGGCAGCATGGGGGACACTGAGGGACAAAGACCTCGGGGAAGCGCTGGGTAACACTTCCACAATATTCATTGGCAAATTCACCCGCCTCTAGGCCGCCTCCTCCCACCTCAAGCCAACTGGAGCGATTACGGGCGGACAGGGGCAGTGGGGGAGGGCGAGGGGCATGGCCGGGACCACCGTGGAAACAGGACAGGCAGGGGGTGTCTGCTTGCCCGGAGGTCCCATGCCCTCAGAGCTAGCAGCAGGAGGGTGTGCGGAGGGTGGGGTGGCCGGGCGCCCAAAGGCAAAGGGGGCCAGTTCATCAGACCCCCCTGCCTCCGCTGGCCATGGGAAATACCGCAATAGATTTCCCTCCATCCCCATTCTACCCCCTCAGCCGGAGCTTCCCCAGGAGCCCAGGTCCAAGGGTCAGGGACCCCAGTTACCGGGTGGCCGCTTCCACCTTCCCTAGAGCCAAACTTTCGGCGGGGCCCGGGGAGGGGTGTTCCGGAGGGAGGCTCTGCTGAGGTGGTTCAGGGAGGGGGCGGGGCGCCGGCGCCGGGACGGGGAGCGGGGACCGGCTGGGGGAGGTGCCCGAGAGGACCCGGACCCCGGCGGCGAAGGGCGCCCTCCCCCGGCCTCGCGGCCGCCTCAAAACACGACCCCGTCTGCCGGCCCCAAGTCCCCGCGCGTCCGCGGCGCCCCAGTGCCCACGGGGGAGCGACCCCTGCCCAGACGGAAAGGGAGCAGATCGGGCAGAGCCGGGGCGGCTTTGGCTCGCGGGGAGCGGCGACCCAACCCAGCGCGCACCCCGCGAGCCCTCCCGGCTGCTCGGGACCTTCCCCCTCGCTACCTCGGAACAGGGTCTGCCCAGGGGCTGCTGCACAAAGAGGTGGTGGTCGAGGGAGACGCCAAATCGTTAAGAGGGGGAACCCGTTTCGGCCATCTTGGAAGAGAGGAAAGGGAAAAAGGGACAGAAAAAAGGGAGAAAGAAAGGCGGACGGGGCGAGCTGGACTGGGGGCTGGCAGGGCGGGGGGGCGGTGCGAGGGCAGGGTCGGCTCAGAGCCTCCCCCTCCCACCGGGGCTTGTAGAGAAGGGTCGGCCCCCATCCCAATCCCCAGAGGGTTACCGGGCAGAAGAGGAAAAGGAAGGGGGAGTCGCTCCGCTTACCTGGGTTCAGGGTCCGGTGGGTCTCGGGGAGGGGGGGATGGGAGGGAGGGAGGGAAGGGAGGGGAGGGGGGCCGTAGCCGTGTCGCTCGCCCGGCCGGCGGGAGGGGAGAAACCTACGGTAAGAAAGGAGTTTGTGAAAGCGGCTTGGGGTGGGAGGGAGAGAGGGGAGGGGAGGGGACCGAGGGGGGAGGGGAGGGACCGGAGTTGGGGGGAGACAAAATGGCTTTTTTTCTCCAGACAAGAGTAGGTCCCGCCCACTACTCACCCACGTGACCTCATTCCTTCAGGATGCTGGCGGAGAGGGGAAAAGGAGGGGGAGGCTGGCACTGCCGCTCCCCGCCACCGGGTGCCGTGTCCCCAGCCTGGACGAGACCCCTCCCTTCCTACGCGGCCGCCCCGACCCCGGAGGATGGGTTCTCTTGTTACCTTCCGCACTTAGCCCCTCCCCTCAAAATATGCGTTCCCCTCACTGACCCTGTGATGCCCACCCCTAGCCGGGGCTCCTGGAAAACGGTGAAATGGGGACTGGGCTGAAAGGTGGCCCGCGGGCCTCGACGCCTGGCCTAGACCAAAGAGCGCGGGGCTCCCGCGGGGGACGCAACGCCTTCAGCCACGCGTCCGGGAGATTTTCATTCACTCCAAGTGACACTCCCTTAAAATTAATAACTGCATCTGGGAGGGCGAGCGTGTCCTCCCTGCTCCCCTTGCCCCCTCGGCCACACGGGCGCTGACCCTGAAGAGCGGCGCACAGGGATCCAGCCTGGGCCCCTGGCAGGGAGAAATCGCGAGAGGGGAGTGGAGGTGCGGGGTGAGGCCGGGGTGGGGGGCGCCTCGCCGCGGGGGGCTGTGGAGGCGGCTGCGCCTAGGCGTGCTCGGGCGGAGAAGAAAGGAGGCTCGCTGAGGACGGGAACTCAGGCTCCCGGCCTGGGACACAATAACCTGGCCGACGGCGAGAGGCCACACTGGTCTAGGAAACGAGGCGCCAAGCTGGAAGGTGGGCCCGCGCCTTTTCTCCGGCCTGGCGCGGATTTCGTATTTTTCGCTCGCGCCCTGCGCTGCGCGCTGCCTGTGCACCTCCCTCGGCGCGCGGGCGGGAGTCGGGCGAGCGCCAAGACGGCGGGGCCCGCTGACTCCCACCGGCGCCCCGGCTCCACCCGCCGCTCGGGCTCCGGTCCCCACTGTCTCCGACCGGAGGGAGAGAATGAGGAGGGAGGCTTGGAAATGCCGGGAGGAGCCGTGAGGCCGGCGCCGGGAAGCGAATCGATACCGCATTACTGGACGCCCGTGGGCCTCATGAGGACGGTCGAATCGCTCATTCGTTATTCACGATTTATTAGGGATGGCGGCCGCGTCTGTCCCTCCAGAAAGCTCAATTATCCATCTGGCCAGCAGCGCCATGAAGCGCACTGACGGTGGGAGGCTCGAGTTAGAAATTAGGAAAGGAATCTTCGCCCGGTTTTGGAGCGCCTGTCTCCTCTTCTCTCGTTGCTCGCAGCCAAGGCAGCCCCGGAGCTGGGGGCCCCGGTGAATGTTTTCGCCCTCTGGCCGGCGACCAGGAGACCTGCGCACATTAGCCACCGAGTGACCCTAGCTTGAGCCTGCAGCCACATCGGCGGGATGGGGGCGGGGAGGAAGAGGAAGGGCGGAGAGATTTCCTTCTAGAGGGAGTGGTTGGAGAACCGGCGGGAGAAGGGCCAAGGGAAGATCCGGTCACCTGCTCGCGAGTCTGCACCCGGAAAGGCGAGTTCACCGGCCCTGGAGGAAAGGGGACACGCCCACTGTTCCCAGGGCAAATGTGTCGCCGGCATCCTGGACTCTGCCAGGGAAGACGCACATCCACTACGCTCTGCCGGGAGGGGAGCGCGGCAGGGACTCCCGGTCGGCTGCCCCTTTCTGGCTGCAAGACCCGGAGCAAGAGAAACCTGTAGGGGCTTTGCGGAGACCTGAATCCCACCCACCAACCACACGGGCACCTACGGGCTGCCCCTCGGGGCAGTATCAGCCAGTGGGAAGGGGGCTGACGTTCCTCTGCGGCCCATGAATCCTGGTGACTGCCCGAGGGGCCGCCGGAGTCCATCCACTTATTCCTCGGTTGTTAAGCGCCCGGCAGGAGCAAACCGCTAGAAAGGAGTATGCTAAGACCCCATTACCCACTAACACTCCAGTTTCATCTTTTGCGTCCTGGATGACCAGTCCCCATATTCCTGGCCTTTCTGGTTTCTCAGGGGAACCTTCTGACCCAACTCTTCCCAGATTGGAAGAGTTTCCTAGTCTTTGTTCTATACTGGCCGACAGAGAAGCACCTGTCACGTGCCAATGTCAAATACTGCGCTAGGCACTGGGCATTCAAGGCACAGGAGCCTGGCTTTTGCGCGGGGCGCTCACAGGCCGGTGGGTGCAAACCCTGAGGGACACACAGCCTGTCCCTTTAGCGACCACCACTTCTGTTGTGAGCTCCCGCTAAGGGTGGGTGAGTACTAGGGAGGGCTTCCAGAAGAGGCCTCCTTTGAGCCGAATCTGCAGAGACCAAGTGTCTACGAGAACTGCTTAAGAGTGCTTTGCACATTCTCATCTACAAAGGTCGAGGCTCCCACTGCGCCCAGGAATACGCCTCGGCAGACATTAGGCGCCTCTTGATTTTGTGTTTGCATCTCACCTGGTCCTCTAGCTGACAATGGCATCAGAAGAGTCAGTGTCTGTCACAGACGACTAGGGGCTCGCAGAGGATAGGAACGCGGGAAATCTAGGCAGTTACTTCCAGCACATACGAAGAGCTATTGCGAGGATTAGATCCCTTTAAAAACGGTGACGGTGACGAGGCGGGAGAGGGCGGCTCCTCTCGTGCTTTCAGGAACGTCTTTACCTCTGTGTTCCTTACACCTTTTATCTCCCCCAAACAAGGTCCTTGGTCTGTTTTTGCTTCTATTTTTCCATTCTCCTCCCCACCTCTCTGTGTATTTCCAGGGGAAAAAAATTGTGTTGCTTTAATTCTGATGCTTCTCATATTAAATGCGTCTCTTTTCCCTCTCTTCATTGTCTTGAGGTCTTCCCCATTCACCCTGCTTAGTTCTCTTGTCATGTCCCTTCTTTCTCTATCACAACTGTGTTCTCCCTTTCTCACCTTTGTTTCTCTTAATACCTGTTTCTCTCTCTCCCATTCTCTTCCAGATGTAGTGTTTAGAGACTGTAACATCGATTGAGCCACACAATAGAAAACTGTCCAACCTCCACTGTAAATTCATTCTTAATCCTACGAAAAATGCTTCCTGAAACGTGTTGCATGCACAGTGAGACAAAAACCTCTGTAGGCAGGGTCGGGGGTGTGGAAGGAAGTGCTAGATAAATTATCCCATTATTGACTGAGCAGCAGTGAATTTTCAAGAAGAGTCATTCTCTTAGAAAAAGTATTGCCGTTGCAATTTAAATGCAAAATTTGGATTTTGAGTAACAGACTTACGATTTTATCTTCCGGGAAATAAAAAAAAGAGTCACAGCGTCCCTGGGTGGGCTCGAACCACCAACCTTTCGGTTAACAGCCGAACGCGCTAACCGATTGCGCCACAGAGACCGCGACGACTGCTAGCGTAGCGGAGAGCCGAGTCAATAGGAGCGAGCCTGGACGGCGCAGACGCCGTAAAAGATTCCGCCATCGGGCGAAAGAAGTGGAACCCAGGGGAGAAAGGTAAGGATCCTGATGGGACAGGGGGGCGACGGGGCTTGGGAAGAGAGGACGCCGGACGTGCACGCTCTTCCTCCATTGGCTCGGCGAGAGGTCGACTCTGGCTATCCTCAGGTTCTACCTCAAACGTGGAGAGGCCCGGAACGTCCCTTTTTAGGGTGACCTGAGATTGAGGTTACGTGAAGTCAGACCGCAGGAGGTCCCCCAAATCAGAACAACCTTTGGCTTCCAAACTCTCCTTTACGGCTGAAACCCTGCAGCCGCAGAATACCCGCGACGCCTATCCGCGACGCCTTCCCCTTCCCACCTTGCATCATTAAATTTCCATTTAATGGGCGCCTCCTATATACCAGGCACTGTTCTGGGCCAGTGAATATTTAGAGCCAAACCAAGTGCCTGATACACAGTAAGCATAAGGATTTCTGAAGTGAATAAATAAGCTAGCACAACTAATACGACCAACTCAAACATCACGTTGATAAGCGTCACGATGCCCCTTCTGCTGAGGCCGAAGCCCCCTACACCCAGTTTCACCGGCCCACGTGCGTGCAGGCTCCGCCTCCAGTCCCGGCGGTCTGGAATCCAGGTCCGCCGAGATCCCACTATGCACCGTGTCACAAGGCTCTTCCGCACCCACAGTGACTTTTCACTTCCGCTTTTCCCGCCTCCGTTTTGGCTTTGCAACCGAACTACCTGTACTGGTGACCGACAGCGACGTACGGCCAATAGAAAGCCCAGGTGGCCAGGAAGAGTCCGCCCATCAGCCAATGGAGAGACGGCAACGAGAGCGGTTGTGCAGTGAAGGCTAGACCCGGTTTACTGGAATTGCTTCGGCGATCGAGGGGTCTTAATACGCCGCAATCATGGTGAGATGGGGAGTGAAGCAAAGGGGCACGGGGAGGGATTGAGAAGCGGAGGGAGTTGGGAGAGGTTTGGGGACGAAAAGGGCCTAGGGTCAATGGAAGGAAGCGGTTTCAGTTCGAGGGGAGCAGACCCCGGTGAGGACCAAGAGGGTGAGTGCGGCTCCTCGCCGTCACATAGTGCTTATCCCACCTGGAAAACCAGGGGTCCAGGCTCCGGAATGGAGAACGGGGCGTACGGGAGCCTCCGCATCAGGGGCTGGGCTATGGCAGCGTTTGACCCCCCGCCGCGCTGAGCCCTCCGTTCTGTTTGTCCTAGTCTATTATGTCCTATAACGGAGGGGCCGTCATGGCCATGAAGGGGAAGAATTGTGTGGCCATCGCTGCAGACAGGCGCTTCGGGATCCAGGCCCAGATGGTGACCACGGACTTCCAGAAGATCTTTCCCATGGGTGACCGGCTGTACATCGGTCTGGCCGGGCTCGCCACTGACGTCCAAACAGTGTAAGTGTCAAGGGTCCCCGCCCACACCCAGGCCTCTTCTTAGACCATCCGCCCCCCGCGTCTCCACCGGACTAGTGAGTCTTGAGTCTTGGCCGCACACTATAGCGATACAGAGATGTATCCTAACCAACTTTTACCAGCATTTACTCTGTGCCAAGCTCTGTGGAAAGCACCTTACATACATGGACTTACTTAATCCTCTTCCTGACGATTCTATGTTGCCATCCCATTTTGCAGATGAGGAAACTGAGGGTCTCAGAAAGTGTCTTGCTCAAGATGCAGAGTCAATGAGTGTCAGCCAAGATTGCCGCCCAAGTCTCTCCAAGGCCAAAGTCAGCGCTCAGTACCTAAAGAACTTCAGGTCAACTTCAAGCAGTCATACAGAAAGATAACCAACCTATGACGAGTTGGTGCTTATTAACTGCCATATTAGTTATCTAGTCGCCAGTGGTTATGTGATTCGAGAGAAGGGAGAGTTAGGGAGATGAAATTACAGTGACGGTTCGTTTGTGAGGGTCATGGTCCTCATGGAGTGGTAGTGGTGAGAAAAGAAAGGAAGGGTCGGGCGCGGTGGCTGACGCCTGTAATCCCAGCACTTTGGGACGCTGACACGGGTGGATCACCTGATGTTAGGAGTTCGAGAACAGCCTGGCCAAAATGGCAAAACCCGACCTATACTAAAAATGTAAAAATTATCCAGGCATGGTGGCATGTTCCTGTAATCCCAGCTACTTGGGAGGCTGAGGCATGAGAATCCCCTTGAACCTGGGAGGCAGAGGTTGCAGTGAGCCAAGATCAAGCCACTGCACTCCAGCCTGGGCAACAGAGTGAGACTCTGTCTCAAAAAAAAAAAAGTCCCTTTATTTCTCTCTCTTTCTCTTTCTCTCTTTCTCTTCTTTCTTTCTTCTTTCTTTTCTTTTCTTTTTTTGAGATGGAGTTTGTTGCCCAGGCTGGAGTGCAAATTTTGCAGTAAGGGGAGAAGAGAAGCCAGGGAAGTGAAGAGTAAGAGAGGAAAAGAATGGTGATGGGTTTTCAGGAGGGAACACATGGTCACGGGCAGGTGCTGCAGGCTACTGGTAGTCTGAGGAGCGGCAGTTCCTGGATGCGTTTCCTAGAAGGTGGAGAGACTAGCTCACAAGTGTGGATGGATGCTGGTCAGAAAATGTTCTCATTTCAGCTGGATGTGGTGGCTCATACCTGTAATCCCAGCACTTTGGGAGGCCAAGGCGGGCAGATCTCTTGAGGTGAGGAGTTTGAGATCAGCTTGGCCAACATGGTGAAACCCATCTCTACCAAAAATACAAAAATTAGGCCGGGCATGGTTGCTCATGCCTGTAATCCTAGCACTTGGGAGCCCGAGGTGGGTGGATCACCTGAGGTCAGGAGTTCAAGACCAGCCTGGCCATTAGGGTGAAACCCCATCGTTTAAAATTAAAAAAAAAATACCAAAATTAGCCAGCCGTGGTGGCACATGCCTGTAATCCCAGCTGCTCAGCAGGCTGAGGCTGGAGAATCGCTTGAACCTGAGAGATGGAGGTTGCAGTGACCCGAGATCGCATCACTGCATTCTAGCTTAGGCAACAGAGTGACACTCCGTCTCAAAAAATAAAAAATAAAAAAGTTCTCATTTCTCTTAAAGCCTGGCCAACACAGTGAAGCCCCGTCTCTACTAAAAATACAAAAGTTAGGTCCAGGCGCAGTGGCTCACAGGCGTGAGCCTGTAATTCTAGCACTTTGGGAGGCCGAGGCGGGTGGATCATGAGGTCAAGAGATCGAGACCATCCTGGTCAACATGGTGAAACCCTGTCTCTACTAAAAATACAAAAATTAGCTGGGCATGGTGGTGTCGCATGCCTGTAATCCCAGCTACTCAGGAGGCTGGGGCAGGAGAATTGCCTGAACCCAGGAGGCGGAGGTTGCGGTGAGCCGAGATCACGCCATTGCACTCCAGCCTGGGTAACGAGCGAAACTCCGTCTCAAAAAAAGAAAAAAAAAAAAATACAAAAGTTAGCTGGGCGTGGTGGCGGGTGCCTGTAATCCCAGCTACTTGGGAGGCTGAAGCGGGAGAATCGCTTGAACCCGGGAGGCAGAGGTTTGCAATGAGCCACGATCGTGCCACTGTACTCCAGCCTGGGTGACAGAGCTAGACTCCATCTGAAAAAAAAAAAAAAAATGACTTGAGCTTCATCTTCTAAGGTAAGGAAAACATAAAACTTACTGAGACCTTGCCCAGCCTGCCCGTTTTTCCTGTCCTGGTGGAATCAGAGGTTCCTGTCAGTGTGAAGTCTCCTGTGACCCTTCCCCTCTCTGGTCCCTGTTGTTCTCACACCGTTTCCTTTTCTGCAGAAGGCTTTTCTCACTGAGTTTGCTTGCTTGTGGGCTATAACTGCTCCTTTCACTAGGCCTCAGTTTCCTTACCTTAGAAGATGAAGCTCAAGTCTTTTTTTTTTTTTTTTTTTTTTTTTTTTTTTTTTTTTTTTTTTTTTTTTTTTTTTT